GTTTAACCAATATTTCACGATACACATTTCACTAATCAGCACATGACTTGCTTCATACATGCTTGCAAGTAAATGTAAGCACTTTCAGAAATGTCAGCCAAAGTGTGGGAGGAGGACAATATCCATGAAGATGGTGCAAGCATATAAATTACTTTGGCCAGACAATTTACTGTCTAACTGCTGGGAACATTCACTCCCTGTGTGTATTCACACTCCCAGTCTGTATTCACTTAAACTGGTGTTTTGTGGTAATGCTAACATACTTTAAGCCACTTAGGGTTTTGGGTTTTTTTTTTTTTGGAAGTCTACAGTTGGTTTATGTTTTCAAATGTCTTTTGAACTTGAGATAAGGAGACGGTGGTTAGAATTTCAGTGTCTCTGGAAGTGGAGAGAAGTTTATTCTGTGCTCACATATGCAGATCTATCTATAAGGCAGAGTGACCACAGCTCAGATGTCAAGTATTTTTCATATAAAGATCCTGCTTCTGTTACAACTGTACCAGAATGTAATTATTTGGGATGAAGTTTCCCATCATGAGTTTCTGCCTCTGACTGAACTGATCATAATTTTGCCTTTTCAAGAAGAATTCAGATAAGGAATTGCTGATCAAAAACAATGACACAAACTCCCTATTTGTAACTACCTTTTGAGAAGCTTCAGCATGTCCATGCTTCTGACAGCAAGGACTCTTTTGTTGACATGAAGGAATTCCTCCAAAATTTGGCTGATTAAGTTCTGAAAATCTGTATGTGTGTGTGTGCACGCATATTTTATGGAATCATAAGGGTTTGGGTTGGAAGGAACCTTAAAGATCTAGTTCCAAGCACCCTGCCATGGGCAGGTACAACTTGCACTAGACCAAGTGGCTCAGAGATACATCCACCCTGCATTTTAACACTTCTCAGGATAGAACATCGACAGCTTTTTACAGTTGCACACTTTTCCTCAAATCACTACTAGCTAACATAACTGCAGAACTTATCTATATTAAAAGTAACAATACTCACAGTTTTTTTCCTCGTCTGGTTTTAATCAGGACCTGATCCCTGGCTAGGCAGCTGCTCAAACTGCTCTCAGAGATGTTTGTTACCATGACAGCACTTCTGGGTGATACTGAGGAAGTTACTCCAGCTGGACTTTTTCCCTCTGATCAGTAACTGAGCTTTTTTTTTTTTTCCTGAGTAAACTGACCTGAGGTTCAGGTTGTGATTTCTTTTTACTTAAAGAAATGCTCAGAGGTGTGAATAAAAACACTCAGGAATTTAGTTGAAAAACTGTATCCTAGATGTCTTCAGCTCAATACTCAAGAGGATGAGAGCAGACATCCAGTCTGTAGGAGTTAACACGTGCAGTGAAGGGTGAAGCAGCCGTTGAAACCTGCAGTGAATGGGAAATGATCCTGCAAAAAGAGAGTGTGTTTGTGTAATTACAGAAAATGATAGGGCCTCAACCACAAAAGGTGAAAATAACAGACACAACCTTTACCCTGTTGTTTTTATTGTTTTTTTTTGTTGTTTTTTTTTTTTTTGTTTGGGGGCTTTTTCAGAGAGGAGTAGTGGTTTTTCTTTTTAACTTGAGGTTGTTATTCTCATGGAATTAGTATCTTGTCCACATTTTTGATCGTGAGATAGGAAAATAAATTACACTAAATTAATTAATATTTATCTAATTTAGCATAACTTTAACAAGTATGTGGTGAGTAGAAGATTCATATACACAAGTGTTTGCTATAAGCTGATATCATATTTGGAGGGGGAAATTATCTTTTGGTGACAGTGTTTCTATGGTATCCCATGCGTGGCAGTCCTAGGTATTAAGTTCTTTTTTCACTCCCATGCTCTTAACCACTATAGAATTCTCTGCCTTTCCAAAAGGTCTAGGAATTTTGGAAAATACTTTCCAAGTACAGAATTTTGGAGCTGAAAGTAATTGTGTGCAATAGAAAGCTGTGGTCTGTTCACATTAAATCTGCAACTCCCAATCAAAAATGGGGGTTTACCCTTCTTCACTGCCATGACTGATAGCACTTGATAAAATGCATAGTAGTTTTAATTCAGGGAAAGACTGGGATTACATATTTCCTTCAAGGCCCAGCAGCAGAATTTCTGATGTTTGTAATGAAAGAGTTGTCTGCTGCACAGATTTGGACCTGAGTCCAGGAACTGTACCACCAAATCAAAAGCCCGATACAATCGTATTTCATCTCTAAAGTCATCAGGCCATGACTGTGATTAATTGGAATGGATAGGCTCTCATGCCTCTGAATTAATGCTCCTACATGTCCCTTAAATGGGACTGTGAAGGGCAAGATGCAGTAACATTCAATATGGAGAGCAGCAGCTTGGGGCCATGGTGTCGTGTTCAATTTCTGTATTTGTTATGTAGCACTGTTTTCCTGTATTATCTCTAAAGGAAAAGACGATGACTATTGCTTGCAAAGTATTTTGGAAAATGTCAAGTATCAGTTCAAAGAAAATTTAACTTCCTTCCATAGGACACTAAGTGTTAGCTGGGTCTGATCCTCACTTATTAAGTAGGAGACATTCTGGTGGAAACACACTGACCTAACAGGCTGATTCAGGATGGCAATTTAACACGATTTTTAACACGATTATTGTTCCAGAGTTAAATAAATTCACATCCTGAAGTAATGTCATAGACTTAACAAGTGAACTAATTCTCACTTTGAGAAGAAGCAGTTAAATAGAATAAAGCCAGTCAATATTCCACTAGGATTTAAATGCATGGAAGATTATGTACCTTCAGTAAATGACAGGAGATTAGATTATTAGATGGATTCCTCAAACATTTGGGATAGATCACTTTTCAGGGTAGATATTAGTGAACACGAGCATAAGACAGAGAAGCCTATAGGAAATCTGCAAAGTCCTAAGAATCAGCTGTGCTGAGCAGCAATGGGCATTGTACCTGGTGGGAAAACCTGTGACATAGCTACACTCCTCCCAGCACTCAAAATCAGATAGGCAGTACTCTGTGGACATGCTCAAGCTGGCTCCCATTCTTCTGCCTTCAACAGAGCTGCTTCCTTCAAGCCGCTTTCTCCAAACTAGCCAAGAACCTGGCATCCCAAGAAATGGCTCACTAGAAGAGCAGTACAGATAAGCAGATGGCAAGAGCTAAATTGCATTTTAGAATGCCCCTTCTCCACAGCAGACATACTTATCCTGTGTACTGCAGTTCAGAGGTCCCTGAACTAAGCTTGGAAGGGCAATTTGGAATTTGAAATAATACAGCCATGTCAAGGAATCATCTGATATGCTTTTCTCCGGCTTGTCTCTGGTGGTTTTTTTCCTGGATCTGGGTCTCTTGCAGGGAGCTTCTGGCGCATCGGTTCACTCTCTCTACTCCAAACTCTGCATTTGGGTCAACAGAGATGGCTGAAGGCAGGGGCCAAAACAGATCAGGAGAACACCATCCAAGTTTCACACAGTTTTGGAGGGTTTATCTGAATACTTCAACCCAGACTGTTTCAGTGCTCTCACGTACAGTCGCATTAGCACAACTGTGACACAAGGACCAAGCACCTGGAAATTTCTTTAAAACTGGAGAAAACATGCCAGGGGATTGCTTGGCCATTGAGGTATTCCGCTTCAGTTAATTAGCGCCGCAGAAAGCCTCAGTTAATTAGCACGGGTGTAAAGTTGCTCTGACACAGTTACTCCGCTTGCAGGACCTGAGCTGATCCCTCGGGGCGGCGCGGCAGCGCAGTGCCCGGCGGGGAGCAGGGAAGCGAGGGAAGCAGGAGAGCAGGAGACGCATCCCCGCTCCTCGGCCAGCTCGCCGCGCCTCGCCGGCGGCCAGACTGGCCTTCCCGCCGCGGGGGAAGGCGATCGGGCGAGGTGCAGCCAGCTGCGGGCTGTGGTGACACTTCGCACCTCCTGTGCCGGCCCCGTTACTTCCCCAGGCGATGGCACGAGGGACACCCGGTTCCTCGTCCCCTGGCAGGGGTCGCCGGCCGGCGGTGTGCCAAGCTCGTGGCAGCCTCTGGAGCCAGCCACTAGAGTTCCTCGTGCCGCGCTGCCAGCGCGGAGCAGCTGTGGGCAGTGAGGGACCCGGGACGGACCGGGGCCACCACGGCCTTGCGGGAACAGGTGGCGGCGGGGCAGTCCCCGCCAGGGCTGCAGCGGGGCGGGAAGGGAAGCGAGGGAACAGCCCCAGCCCCGCTATCTGCGGTGGTCCCGCTCCCGTTCTCCCTGCGGAAACGGCGGAAAGCGCCGAAGGGATCCGAGCGGAGCCGAGGCGGAGAGCAGCGGCGGGGCGGGCGGCGGACCGGGGCCGGGCCCGGCCGCTCGCTCCCTCCGCTAGGGGGCGAGCGCGGGCGGCGGGCTCTCCTCAGCGCCCCGCCCCGCCGCGCCCGCCCAGCCCAGGCGCAGGAGCCGCAGCCGGCGGCGGGAGCGGGGTTAGGATCGGCTCCGTGGTCCCGCGCTCCGCACCTGCTCTCCTCGGTCCGCACGGTGGCGGCGGCCGCGACGGCCGTGACGGCCTTCTGCGCCCCCTGGGGGAGCGGGGCGGCGGCGCGGGGCGACGCGGCAGGTACCGGGCGAGGCGGCGGGAGCGGAGCGGGGCGCGGGGAAAGTTGGCGCCGCCGGGGCGCCTCGGGAGGCGGGGGCGGCGGTGCCGCCGGGGCCGCCCCCGCACCTCCCTCCTCCTCCTCCTGCACCTCGGCGGGGCGGCGGAGTGCCCGGGCGGACGGCTGGCTCCGCGCCGGTGCCTGGCTGTCCGCGGGCCCCGCGGGAGAGCGGGGCCGAGCGCTGCTCCCGGCGGCTGGTGCGGGCGGACAGGGGAGAGCGAGCGGGAAGGTGCGCGGCCGTGTCTGCCGGGCTGTCAGCCCGTGGCCAGCCGTGCCGTGCCGTGCCGCGCCGTGCCCTCGGGGGGCGGCGCTGCTCCGCTCCGCCTTGTCCCTCCGTTTTCTGATCCGCTCCGCGCCTTGAGCGTTTAGCGCCGGGCACGGGGGAGGGCACGGGGAAGGTCCCGTCCCCTCCTCGGGCTCCCCTCTGCAGTCGCCTTTGCTGCCTGTTAAGACAGGGTGAGTTTGTCTTCTTCTCTATTCCCGGATTTTTTCCCCAAGTCGTTGGCAGAGCACCCGACTTCAGAGTATTCTCGAGTTCCGAGTGCCTCGGGCGTGTTTAGGAGAGAGGGGAGCGCTGCGGGCGCAGGGCGGCCCTGCCCGGCTGGGGCTGCCGGGGGATCAGAGCCCCAAAGCCCGGAGATACCACAGTACCACAGACTAGTTATCTGCAGCCGACCCACCACAAAGGCTGCCGGGGCTCCACAGCGGTTACTTTTCAGCATTTTGGGTGCTGACTTGCCCTGTGGAGATACAAAAATATCCAGTATGTCTGTAAGATATATATAATATATCCATATATGCCAAGTGTGACAACTATTTGCCTCACTGGCGTTACGGAACAGATGCAACAGCAGTAAAATAGGATACTGCTTTTAATATAAAATTCTCATTCATCTTTCAGCACATCTCGTTTCCTCTCTCGACTGAACTCATCTGAAATAATTAGTCAGTCTCTCCTTCTGTTGCTCCTTGCTTTCCTCTCTTTCAAAGATACAGTTGGGATTTTTTAATTTTTTTTTTTTTGTCTTCCATGCTAGGATGGTTGCTTCCCTTGTGGTACTCTTCACCCTGTCACACAAATTGCTACTGTCCTAATACCTGTGTAACAGAAAACAGAACAAGTTTGTTCTTAAATGCAATTAAGTATTTGTACTGGTACTGTTTATCACTGACTTTATAGTAGAAACACATAAATTACTGAAGTATTAATTTTGCACAGTGTTGCATTGAAAGATTACTTATAAAAAGTGAATGTACATGTGTAGAATACTTAGCTTTGGAGGGCAGTTGCATATTCACTTTAAAAAAAAAAAAAATCTGCAACTAGTTGTACAAGAAGCAAATTGTGCCTATTACTGGAGTAGGTTTGATCTTATGGGAAACAGTCAACAAACAACTGTAGGGAAGAAGGGTCTGCTCAGTTACTGTATCTAGAAAGGCTTGCTCACTAATGGAATACAAATGCTAAATTTTTATGATGGTGATGTTCTCTGGCATTGTCCTGTGGCAAAAATGTCTTGATAGGTTGGTTACAAATACCTAATACATTTTTGTTTTCTAGTTCATGAGAAAAAATGTAACACTGCATAGTTCAAAGTACACTTAACAGAACAGCTCATTTGGAGGTCCAAGTTGTGATGATAAGATTAATTTTGTTTCATTAAACACTCTAATGTTGCTGGCAGTGGATTCCTGGAAGACCTCTTAACACTTGTCATCTCTCTCTCTGACTTAATAAGCATTTCTGTTTCCATTATCAACTTTTGCATATTCTAAGACCAGGACAATTCATTATTTTAGGATATAAATTTGGGTCATATCACATGTACTTTACAATACTTAAGTCTTTACCCTCATGCTTCCAAAATGCTTTCAGTACAAAATAAGATCCTCATAAAACTATAATTAAATGATGTGCTATAAAATTGCAAAGCTCCATAACTGCTTCTCAACTAATTATTTTGTATTATTGGTGTAATATGCTTAAAGCAGTAGACAGAAGCAACAAAAAATTAATAACAAAAAAGCTAGTGGTAGAATCATCATCTTCTTGAATATGTTCGTGACTTACCATGTGATAAAACATGTTTTCATCCAATCCAGGAGTCTAAAATATCAGCTGTTTTCTAAAGATCTTGGGTGGACTGTTTTGTTAGTAGTCAGTATTATAGCAGAGACAGTTGTGCATCCTTTCCTAAGCTGTGACCTACTTCTTATACTGATGGGTAAATGATAGGTTTACATAGACACTGAAAGAGTAACCTTATGTAGGTACAACACCAAGTCCTGTGCACAGAAGTCATTAATGTTAAATTCTCCAAGGTGGGCTAAATGCCAGTACAGTGAGCAGTTCTTCTGTTTTGTCACTTCATTCACAAATAATATTTGCCATGCTGGCACCTATGCATAGGGGTATTTGTTCATTAAAACTTGACCATGTAAATGTAAAATGTAGTTTAGTGGTGATGTTACCACAGCCACCAATCTCGTTTTAAATGTAGTAAATGTTCATTATAAATTTTATAGAAACCTTGTGGTGTGCGTTTGGTTTTAGTTGTTGCATTTTTTGTTTGTTTTTTGACTGAGAAACACATTCCCTAAGTTTTATAACTGTGAACTTGAGAACTGATTTCTGTCAGAGGCAACACTGTGTTCTCATCTACTGAAAAGTTTGCACAGGAAAATGAGAGGGCAACATTTTTCAATTGTTTTCCCAAAACTACAGTTTTGAGTATATTAAGAAAAAAAATATTTATTTTGCTTCCATCCTTGTTGGTGTTTGTAGCATTGGTTTCTCTTCTGACTACCTGTATGTAGCAGTGCAGTGTGCATTTTGTTCCATGGTGTCAAGTGCATGACGTTAGTTACCAAGGAAGATTTGGCACAACACTGATAAGAACCCATAGCTCTGGCATTTTAGCCTCTGGTGGAAGCATCCCATACCTTGGGATGGCTGACTTGAATAGGAATCAATCAAGTAACTCTGAATTAGGGTTGTCTCTTAAGAGAGAGGCAGAATTTAGGCCACTTAATCCAGGCAAGGGAAGTGTCAGTATCAATTAGAAATGCTCTGCCTGCAGTTTTGCCTTGGAGTTGGATGCTTTTCATGAGCTGTAGTGTTTTCTTGTTTTCAAAGCCTAGAAATCAGAAGGTGTATGTGGGCTTTCCTCATGACAAGTGGGAATTTGTGGGAGGTAAGTTATTCTTCTGTTGAGGTGTTAACTAAGGAGAAAGAACAGGTACACAAGCAGCTGGAGTGGAGTAACAGATGTGCTGCAGGTTTCATCCTGGCATACCTTGAGATAATTTATTCTGATCTCTCCATACCCTAAGATACCATTGCCTTCAATCAGCATATACTGAACCTCATAGAGTAGTTCTAACTTATATTATTAGCATTGTAGTATGAAACTTAATCATGTGCCCACTATAGGACTTTTTGTTCCTTCTTCTTTTCATATCCCTGCATTCATGAAATGATATGAAATCAGATACTATAGAAAACATTGCCTAAAAGCTTGCTTTTTAAGGCTTTTTTTTGGTCTTAATTTTCCTTCCTATTATCAAACTGCATTCACAGTCTTGAAGAGCCTTCTCCCTGCAGAGAACACTGATACTTTGTACATAATTCAGTTGCTTGAGTTGTGCTGATGTCACTGTGATGCTGAAGTCTGGTCATGCCTGTCTAATAGATTTTGGTTTAGATTTCCAAATATTACACATGAGTAATGGTAACAAGGGGTTCCTGTCTTTTGGGTCAGGAGGAATCAAAAGATACTTGTAAACCTTGTAGGTTCTTGGTGCACTGCTGTACTGTTGTTCACCTCATGAGTCTCACATATTCTTGGCTTACAAGTTAGAGATATCCAGACAAAATGGAATACAGATTACCCATCTGATACTCTTCAGGAACATGTGAGGTATTGTTTAATCAGTTTCCAGAAAAAAGTTGAAGAAGATACAAGCAGAATGATACCTGCTTCTTCACCCGTCTTAGAGTTCCTCTGGCTTTGTCTGTCACAGTTCTGTGGTTCACTTCTTGTCTCACACTTTCTTACTATCCCTTCTCAGCATGTGTCTCAATCCAATAACAATACTTCTCCTTTTAATAAATATAGTTCTTCTGTCCAAGAACTGTCACCATTGATTTAACAGGAGAGCATATCACTGTGTAAGGGATGTAGTGAATCTCTGTGGGCTCTAGGTCCCTCAGTCTGAACCAGCACATTATCCTAATGGCTCTGTTTGAAATTAAAATCATTAGGAGTGGTCTTGTCTGATGTGTCTCTCTGACTAAGTTCCCTCTGTTAAACTTCTGCAAATGTCTCTTCAATGTGAAGATTACAGAGCATTAGACAAGTAATGCAGTTTTACAAATAAAACAGAAATCCCAGGAGCAGTGGAGCTTGTGCATGCTATGAGCATATGTTAATCTGTCATATTGGCTGTAATTTCATCAGCTCCCTCTCCTGGCAAGTTTAGGCTTGATATAAGCACAGCAACATATGTTAGGGGGAGAGAGAGAGAGTGTCCCAAGCTTTGAATTATGATTAAAAACACTGCTGAGGAAACTGCATTTTTCAGAATTTGGAGTTGAGAGGAACTCTTCAAGATAAGTGATCTCAATCCCTTTTTTGAAGGAGTATTAGTATTAGGCTTTTTGAAAGGTGTTGTTTTGCCAAAAGTGAAATGAGTTCTTTTCCCTGCATCACAAAGTCAAAATACAGCCAAGCTAATAAGTTGCATGCTTGCTTGTATTGACCAATTCATTGAGTATGTTTCAAGAGTCAAGGTAGTAACCCTTGTCACCTCCTCTATCATCTTTGTCAACAACCAGCTTTTATCTCTACTAATTCAAGCTGGTGGCTGGTGCACTCTGAAATTGGTTAGGTAGTTATTCTCAGTAAGTACTGTGTACTACTAAGTCTCAGGATTCTTGGTTCAGTCACTAGTTTTGTTTTTTAGACTCTCCTACTAATATTAAGTGTTGTTGGTCATAGAAATTAATAAAAAGTGAAGCAAAAGCCAGCTTTCAATTCAAACTTGTATATGTGTGTTATCTTAGTGAGAGGTAAAGTTTTACAAGCAGTTCAAGATGTTTGTAATTATTTAAGGTGAAAATAAAATCAGTATGTTTTTAAGTTCTCTGTGAGAAGAAAACTGTATAAGAAAGTGATAAGAATAAGAACTGTGTAAGAAAGTGATTCCAACTTTTTGTTCTTCTGTTGCAATGTAATATAAAACTAATTGTGAACTTTTCCTTTCAGCTCACATAGCCTTTCAAGATAAAATTTTTGTTTTCTGATGTAAAGGTGGACAATACAAAATATGCTTCACTTTTATATTTTCTGAAGGTGAAGTAATGGTAAAATTTGTGTGAAATCATAAAATGCCTCATCCTTTGTAGCTGGCAAATACAGTTGCAGTGTTTTGGTGGTAGCTCTAATTTTGGTGAT